TTTTTTTTTTTTTTTTTATTTACGTTATTTTGGTCTCTTTTGTGTTTAGAACAATATATACTAATTTTTAAAGTATCAAATTGAATTTTTGTTCAATAAAAATCTTTCAAATGCGATTGTAGCTTTTTTTTCCCCCAAAACTTTGTCTTCAAAATAAGGGTGCGTTTTATACACCGGTGCGTCTTATATTCCGAAAAATACGGTATATAATATTTTGTGGAAAAACAGTGCAATAAAGTATAAACAATTTGAAAGAGAGAAAATAAAAATATTGTAACATAATATTAAGTTATAATGGTTTGGATAATTTAAGATTGAGATCTTAACTAAAAACTTAATGGGTGTAAATTTCTTCCTAAAATGTACTCTTACTTCTTCTGTGTCCCTGATTATGCTTGTGTAATAATGACTATATTGCACACGTTTCTCTGAGTGTTCTCTTTTAGGACACATATGTTTCATTTGTAAGTTAGATTATCATCACAGTAATTAGTGAATGTTGCACTTAAGCTAACTGGACTTAAACTAGAGATATAAAGTGAAAAAAATTTGATGTTTATTTTTGGGAGAAGAATTACTGTAGTTTGAAAATTCCACCTGAAAAGTGTTATAATATTGCTATAGGATAAACAAACTGATGAAAAGAAATTTGTATTCTACATAATGTCTGAGGTATGAGAATTAATATCAAATATTTAAATTTGGGCTTTGTTTAAATGTAATATGAAGAAAAGCTATTACATTATTATTTTAATTAGTAATTATTTTAATATTTTAAAATGTGGACTAATATTTTTAACGTGGTGTTCATATTTTTGAAGCATATTTAAATAATGCAAATGAATGATATGGATAGAAGGTATTTCTGTTTTATATAAATATACCTATATTTTAAGTAATAGTTAACACCAGAAATCTTTTCCAGGGTGTATGTACAGTACATCAGGTCTCGGCCTTGTTTTTGGGTTTCTTCTTGGTGGGTACTTTCTTTCCATTCATGAAGATGCTATCTTATATGACACTGTGCCTTATGACATACATCCAGGCAGTCCTCGTTGGGTTGGAGCATGGTGGGCAGGATTTGTTCTCTATGGATTCTTGTTAACAATGGTGAGTTTGGTTGTCAAACCTCCTCTGGCATCAAGAAGACTGGCCTGCTGGTTCGCAAGTTCTTAGGAATAATAAGCAGATTAATTAAAGAAAATAATAATTAATAACATATTGAATTAAAGTAAATAAATAATATAGTGTTAATAAATCCATAACCTAATTCCGATGTGTTGTTACATAAATATAATTGATGTAAAACTATACTTTACTAATTTAATCCATTTCATCCAATAACAGTTGCTGTCAACCAGTTTGCTAACATAAATAGCATCTCAACCATTACTGTGTCCATTGTATCCCAGCTAGCCTGAAGATCCCTGGTATTGGGCAGAAGGCCTTGTTGGCCGTAGATGTAGCAGATATAGTGTGGTTTACTTATGTACTTTCACTGAGATGTTCTTCTTAGTAATAAAGGCTGTCTATTATTTTAACTTATAATATTGTCTAAAAAGTAAAAGAGATGCTTATATGTGAAAAAATACAGTATTATTTGGTAACAAGCTGAGGTACCCGTCCTTTGTCCGGGTTATGAACTTAAAAATAAGTAACTCAAAAAATCCTAACTTTCACACAATTTATTTTTAACACAACATTATTACAGTATTCATTAATACTTCACCAAAAGTTTTGTATAAGCTTTAAGAATTCATTATGTATATACTTAAATCATGGTATACTCTGTGTGATGGTTCAGATGACTTTGTATGAAGAGGTAGAGGCCAAAGTAGTGGCGGTAGGGGTGCTTTCTGTTACCATCTTTCAAAATCCAGCTCTTAATATCCTTCCATAGTGTTTCACAGGATTAATTAATTAACAGTCATTGGCCCGAGAAGTGTCTTATGGGTTGAAATTGAAACGTCATGGGTCAAAGTGGTAGCTGTTGGAGTAGAAACTTCAGCTGAGTTTATGTATTATTGTAATAATGGCGGCAATTGTTTTTTTAATTGCATTCCTCCATAGGGAGTGCTAGTGCATGCTCTGAGATATATACATAAAACATTTGTATGCCATCCCCCACATGGTGTGTATTTTGTGTTATAGAAAATTTAATCAACTTTCTTTTGTGTGTAAGGATGTGGCACCATTTGTGAATGTAGTTAATGTTAACTTATATCAAAGATAATAAACATTTAGTAACAGCAAAAATAGAGATGGAGGGGTTGTGAACTGTCATTAACATGCTCCTTATTCCAAACTATTATCCTGCAAAGCTTGTTTGAGATTGGCCCAGTGACCTAGGAGTAGTTAGATAACAGGCAAACAGACAGACACACATATTTTTATGCTTTATATATAAAGATCATAATTATAGTGACTGGCTACTATCAGAACCATTCTGTACACATTTCTAGATCACTTCCTTTAAAAGAGACTGATCATGTGATGTGGTTGCAGGTTATTCTTTTAATATGAAAATATGATTATATATATCATGGTTAATCTGTTAGGCAATGGTTAAGATCAAGGGTTTTTAATAACATCACATGAAAAAAAAAAAAGAAACATAAATACCATCAATACTGGAATTAATTCCACAAATTACTGTTATAGTTCTGTTTCTATTTTACCTAGAAATTGAGTGGTTTCGTTTAGTATTTTTGTTCAGCTCTCTGCACTGAGTGTTAAAGCAGAGAAAAATGTAAAATTATTCAATATGTTCCAATATGTAGACCCAACTGGCAGTGAACAGTATAAAAACAAGTCAATAATTTTAGAGTTAACCTGAATGTATAGTTCTATTTCCATATCATAACCATTATAGTTGAAAATACATTTACTCTCTTTTATTTTATATACTTATGTCCTCCAGTGGTTCAGCAGTAAACTTCAAGGCTTGTAACACTAAAATTCAGGGGTTGATATCCATGTTCAACATAATGCTTATAGTCCATTCTGTAGCTTTGCACTAAATTAAATAAACAGGTTTATATTTTTTATTTCTAACTAATTTAATTTATAAACTTTCATTTGTATTTATTAACTCCTGTATTTTGATAATTCATTATTTTAAAATAAAATACTTGCATGTAATTACATAAAGATTTATCATATCATAAAATTTTTTAACTTTCAGCTCATTTTTAAGTGATTTTTTTTATCTTTTGTGTTATTTCACTAAGTGATGAATAATTTACATAAATGCCTGATCATATCTGAAAACTTATGAACACAGAGTCAAATGATAGAAAATTGTATATTTCAGCCAATACATTTATTTTGTATATCCTTTCTTTCCAAGACACTTGTGGAATATATATTTCAATGTTTATTAGATTATATTTCTGTATATTAATCATTTATATTGCTTATTCAATCAATTAAATAATATTCTTAGCAGATTTTTTTTACATTTCTTTGTCTCAGGTGTCCAGTCAATTCATTGTGTTATTTATTATAAGGAAAAGGTTAGAAAACTACTCTGTTGTACCTTTTCCCTGAAGAGTATACTGGAGGTTAAGTACAATACATAAGAGTGATATTCCAGGCTCCATACTGCCCTTGGAACTACTTCCTTTGTCATCAGTTTTGCTTATACAGATGGCTTTGATCATGCAGTATTGTCTGATATTATAATTTTCATATAACTTCAGCTGGCCTTATACTAAATTCATCTTGTTGATTTCCTGCTACTTATAGGTGTAATAATTAATACATTTGTGGAATTCAGTAGTAGGCTTTCCTCATTACATATTTAGAAATGTTTGAATAAAAAACTATTATTATTAACTTTGTTTGAAGAAAACCTCAACTGACAACATAATTCCTTGAGAAATATGTTCTTGTACAGCTATCATCTACTTATCTTGTTGTTTAGAGAGACCTCTGATTGTGAGATAAGCTTTACTTACAATGTTCTCAACCCTTGAACTCTGTATTAATTCCTGCTTCATATGGACAGGAAATTTTGAATTTTTGAAGACAATATGTTTACTTAACAGTAATACCTATAGATTCAGTGTCAATCAGAATTTACTAGAGAGTAGCACCTATAGATTCAGTGTCAATCAGAGTTTACTAAACAGTAGTACTTATAGATTCAGTGTCAATCAGAGTTTACTAAACAGTAGTACTTATAGATTCAGTGTCAATCAGAGTTTACTAAACAGTAGTACTTATAGATTCAGTGTCAATCAGAGTAGGATATGATATTCCTTCTATGATTCCATTAGCACTAGAGCAAGTCTTCTTAAACAACAAACTTGTGAAAAATGATATAGTTGTATTTACCTCATCTCAACTCTGCTCCTTCAGCTCATTCAACCCTTTGACTGTGTAATGAAATTTTGTGTGGATTCTTGAAAAGTGTCAATTATCCACTAAAAATTAAATTTAGAATTTGACCCTTTTTTTAGTACTTTTTCGATACCAAAAACCACTAGTTGCACTTTTGCTCGGTGAGGTATAGACGCACGGTACTAAGGCAAGAAATTCAAGAACGTTTGGCTATTCCTGATTGTCACACTATAAGGAGAAGTTTTGTGACACTATGGGGTAAATCTGCTTGTTACACCAAAGGGCTACAAATATCAAGTCGGATAAATCTGATGACACCATTCAAAGAGTTAATCCATATTCCTGACTGACCTTCACAAGCACCACTGTTGATTCTTCCATTTTTCTTTATATTTCAAAAAAAATTTCAAACAAAGCTTTCAAGTTTAGCTTCTGAACTTCTCTTTGCTGTTTTGAGTCACCTTTTCCTTGTGTACATTAATTCAAAGATATAATGTCTTTGTTGATCACAAAAATAGTCGTTTTCTCCTTGACTGCCTAGGGCCAGGTATGGCTCAGTGGCAAGTGTGATCGAACTGTGAATCTGAGGGTTGAAGGTCCTTGGCCCATTGCTGCACTTTGGGGCTGTGAGTGTGCTATATGAGTGATGATTAAATTCCATAATTCAGTTAGATGAAAGTGGCCTAAGAGTTGGTAGTGATTCCTTTTGACTACTTGCTCTCCCTCTAGTCTATCAGTTCAAAATTATGGATTGCTATATGCAGATAGCCATTTGTGTGGCCTTATACAGAAATTCTAAACCAAACAAACATATATTTGAGTATCTTTGAAATGGCTGGTATGCTTACTGTAATGATACTTGTTGAACTCCCTAACAAAATTTCTTGTATTTCAGTTTTGAATTGATTTCCTTGGGAGAATGCATGATGTAATTACTTGCTGGATTAGTATGTCTAGACCAATTAGCCATTTTTTTTATCTCAAAAGGTGTTTCAACATCAGCTGTTATAATAATTCAAATGTTTTGAACAGTTGTTATGGGCTATCTACCACAAACTTCTAAGAAGTTAAAGAGTTTTTAAAGGTACTTTGCATCATTCTGATGTGTATTATTATCCTGAATAGCATCAGCACTCTGATAAAGGACAGGGATTTAATGGTCGTTCAGGAGGAGCTTGTGAGTAGGACAACTGAGCAAGTTGTTTAATATCCCTCATCAAGCCTTATGAGAAATTATTTTTCCTTCTTCATTTTGCAAGTTATTAAAAAAGAATGACAGAAAATGATTCAACTTTTTATGTGTTAAGTTTTTAAGCCTACTATAAAGATCAGTTATCTGTGTTAGCATCATGAACCAGAGGTGGCTAGCCTGAATACTGCAATTTTTTTATGGTCACTGGAAATTGTCAGACAGTGTACAGGGTTGGTTTAGGATTTTTGCCAAAAAAAAAAGGATAAAAAAAAACCTCTGAAATAGGGAACATTACTGCTTGTTTATAGATTTTTGGCTTGCATCATTCAGAGTTGGCTGGCTTGATTACCATAATTTTTAGTATTGTAATTAAAAACTGTCTGTTGGTGTACATGGGCTATCTTGTTTTACAATTTCTACTTATAAGTGGGGATAAAAAGAAAACTTTAATAGAGTTCATTTCCACTTTTTTTATAGGATTTTGGCTTCCATTAACCACAGTTGGCAGGCTCAATTAACATAACTTTTTGTATGGTAATTGGCAACTATCTAAAGATATATATAGGGTGCTTTGTTTTAGGATTTTTTCCAGAGAAAGGAGATTAAAACTACCATGAAATAAGGCACTTTTCCACTTATTTTTATAGATTTTTGGCTTTGAATTTAAAAACGCAAATATTTTATCTGTTAAATGAGTCAATTATTACTTTCCACAAAGCAGGTTATGCAATTAACATCCAATGAGGTCATTAGGGATTTAATAACAAAAGATAGAAGGAAGGGGACATTATTTAATATTGTCCTTTATACAGTTTTTTGTTTCCATAACAGATATGTTCAGTTAATTATTATTAGTCTTTTCAAGTTGGCAGCAATATGAATAGCTTGTGTGTATTATTCTATCCAATTACTTTGGAAATAATGAAGTCTGACGTGCTTCGCATAGTAAATAAGAAATAAAAACTGAATCATTCATTCAAATTACTTTTTTGAACTCATCTAGTGCCTGTCTTACATTGTCTAAAAATATTCTGTGTAGAATTTTTCTGATATTCTCAATCAAACTAGCATGCTTGCCTTTAAGGAAAATTGTAATGTAGCACTTGATAACTATCAGCCAAACCAGAGAAAAGTACAAAAATATGTATATTACAGAGTAGCGTAATAACAAGAAATATATATATTAGAAAACAAAAGATATTACTATATAACAATATCTTTGTATTCCTTTGTATGATGTGTCCATTTTAGACATGTCGTTAAACTGTGGTATCTTGGCTCCAGGATTGTAAGTGGCTTTGTTAGAAACAGTTTTTATTTCACTGTGTATTGTTAGTAAATTTAAGTATGTTGGTTTTCTTAAGTTCTTAATAATTCAGTTTTCTATTACAGATTGACGAAAGCATTATCTAAATATTTATTCGTATTTATACATATTTTTTTTGTACAGATTTCTATTCCATTTTTTGCATTTCCCAAAACACTGAAGAAAGAAAAAGAACGCTTGATTTTGGAAACTCGTGAGCTTTCACCATCAAAAGAGCCTCATATCCAAGAAGAATTACACATGCCTGGAGAAACACAGCCAAACCCTTCTGTTTCTAAAGAAGCTGAAAAGAAACAAAAATATGGAAAAGATGTTAAAGGTTTGTTTAATTTCAAGTATTTTAAATATTTGTGTCCAGTAGCGATGGTTGTAGAACATTTCAGCACTTAGATATTAGAACATTTATTGGTATCCGAGATTTGATAATTTACCCTTTAATAATACCATGGGATATACCCAGCTTCATTACAATAGATTTTTGGGTGACAGAGTTCTGTTTTGAAATCATAGCCTTTATTTTTCAATGTGGGAATTGCTTGGGATGTGATTTCAGAATCAATTGCTGCCTTAAATACTCTACTCTGTAGATTTTTTTATTTCTTTGGATAACATCAAAGGCCCCTTTGAAATGTTGTGTCCTTTAGTTCTACATGGTTTAACAATCTTGCCATATTAATATCTTTCCTTGGAAAGGCTGTAATATGATCCTGCAACTATAAGTTTATCTGTGGTGGCATTGCACTGTCAGATGCTTAGGAGTTTGATGTGAACTACATTTATTTATCTCAAATTTGTAACACATGGTTCCTTTCACACATCTGTGGAGATACCACTATATTAATGTACACAGATCATTCATGAAAGAAACATTCTGTAGCATATTTTATAGAGTTTTTTAGTCCTAATTTCTGGACAGAAACATAGGTTGTGAAATTCCAGAGTAGGAAAAGTGATGTGTTATTATTATTATTTATTTGTTTTTGTACTTAAATCTGTTTGCAATTCTTTTGATTGGCAGATATTCCAGCATCTATGTGGCATCTGATCAGTAATCCAATCTATATAATCACCTGCCTGGGTGCCTGTATGGAATTATCTATTGTTAATGGCTTCATCATCTTTCTTCCAAAATACTTGGAAACGCAGTTTAACCTTGATAAATCTGAAGCTAACGTGTTCACAGGTATGGTAAAAATAGAATCACTATATTTTAATACATGTTTTTACAGTAAAATAATTCTGAAAATGAACTGTTTAGGTTGTCAACGTGTATTATAGAAATTGCAGTTTTTCAAATTGCCAGTGTTTCAAAAAAATATGTATTGTAATTAAAAACATGCTTAAGTCTAAGAAAAAAACTCTTTATTTTTTTTCTCAAAATAATTAAAGGATAATTAGAGTTTTCTGTATTATAGTTGTGACAATGCACAACTACTTCCATTAAATAATGCCTGTGCTAAGGCTGAGTTAATTTGTATGCAAAAGAAGTGTCCGTATTCGTTTTGAAAGGACATGAATGTTTCAGTATTATAGGAAAGTAAAGGAAACTCATTGTGTTCTCAGTTAGCAATTTGAACAACAGCAAAGTACCTGAAGAGATCCTGATTGATGGTGAGGACCCCAATAAAAACATTTTGAGAAGTTTTCATGATTTGTGGTGCAGTAAGTTGGGTAGAAGGTGGTCCAGCACAATGAGTCTTTACAGAATGGCTACAAGTCTCGCAATGCGTGTGATTAGCAGAATGTGGACTCACTTTCAGACTGTCAATACATTTGGCTGGTGACCTGGATAGGGGAGATCATTTTTGATAACCCTGCAACACTCGCAAGACAATCACAATTTGATAGAGTGGGCTTAACACAGTTAGTGGGCCTGAGTTTCCCAACAGTTTAAAATAGCAACTGAACAATAAATCAGCAAGCAAGTGGACATAGAGGATTTTTATGATTTGTCTGCCATTCATAATTAAGACTATTTATTATTAATTGTAATTTTTATTGAAGATGTTTAGCAACTCTTTTGGTAAACATTATTACATAATTGATCACAGATGAACCATGCTTCAACTTGTAGCCAGATACGAGACATGTACACATTTAAAGAGTGTCCTTGACCAGATACAACCAAAATTTTATATAGAATAAAAAAAAATGTGTGGTGGTGGGTGTGGAGGCATACTGGCTGTTGGCAAGAATCAGTATTGGTGGCTATACTAACTTTTTATGTGCTTTGACGTGGCACTATGAGTGCCATATGTTATAGATGTGCAATTTAATAACCATTAGTGTTACCACATGCAGATGTAGTTGGTCATAACATGCACCACTACAGTGGTCAACTGTTCAGCAACATCATGGAAAAAGAGAATGTTGATTGAATTTGTTGGCCAGCACACTCAGCAGACTTTAAGATGATTGAACATTCATAAAGTAATGTTGATGAACGTGAAGAAAGTCTGATAGAGGAGTGAGCCATATTACCTAATCAACTCATTGATTCCCTCATTTTAATTTTGTCACATCAATGTACGGAATGCATTATTGTCCAAGATTGTCATACATCTTTGTAAACAAGAGTTTTCTGATCATTCACTGGGCTGAAAGTTTGTATTACCAAATAAGCACTTGTAGGCATGGACTTTAGTAGTAGACATCTGCATATATCTAATCATGATTGGTTTCCTGACACTTGTTTTTGATGAAATTAAACTTGGAGGTGCTACTGACATAGTCACTTGGTACATCTATACTTGTATCTTACTAGCTTGAAAGCAGGTTTGTTTATATGTGTTCGGTCAAATGTATAATATTATATCAAAGTAAAATTTATAGTTTATTGCATCAATGTAAATAACTTTCTGTGTAAGTAGTAATGACAAAAGTTTGTAAAAACAACAACAATACAATCAATAAGACTAATTCACTGCATAGTGCGGAACAAGGCTTGTTAAATTTTACTGTTTTTAGTCAACTTGTTTCATTTCCTCTCCATGTAGGTGGAATAGCTATACCTGGGGCATGTGTTGGAATTTTCTTAGGAGGATACTTACTGAAGAGATTTCAGCTGAGGCCAAAAGGTGAGAATGTGGGTTTCAAATGTTAATCTTTTCTGTTTGTTTGTTAATTAATAGATGTCAGTCAGTAGAACTATTTGGAGAAGGTAATAATTGAATAATATTGTTTATGTAGAATAAAGAATTTTATGCATTCATGAATTTTCAAGTATTCATATCTTTAAACTTATTTCATTTCATGTTAGGTTTTGTAGTGTTATGACTTCTGTTTCCTGTTATGTATGAATTCTGTAGTTTATCCTTGCATGTTTATTGTTTGTATCAGTAAGAATACAAAATATACAAAATAAGTTAAGTTTAATTAGATTAAAGTGAAAGTACCATGATTAGAGACTCCTATTTGCTTGCTTTTTAAATTTATTGAAGCTGTAATGGATCATATGTAATGACAGTAGGACTTATGATCAATTGATACTATTCCAAAGGAAAATCATTAAACTCGTACATTGCTTACTGTTAGCGTCTTGTTGCAATATTTTTTTAACTCAAACACACAAACTTGAACCAGTGGATTTATTTGCATGTATATAAGTCAGTCTATTCTACATTTCTCAGTTGCTTATGTGATCAAGCCCTACTAACAGTTTTCTTCGTCTCTCGTTATCATATATTATGTTGACTTTTGTCTATTTAGAGAATACCAATGATAATATGGATTTACATTTATAAGGAAAAATCAACAATAATTTATTTTAGTTTCATTTACTATGCAGCATTGTGGAGGTTAGTATATATCAGTGGCATATCCAGAGTTAGTGTTGGAGGGGGGCAAAGTTTTGGAGAAATGACATCAAAGGTACCAATGTGAGCATGGCATATCCAGAGTTAGTGTTGGGGGAGGGCAAAGTTTTGGAGAGATGACACCAAAGGTACCAATGTGAGCATGGCATATCCAGAGTTAGTGTTGAGGGAGGGCAAAGTTTTGGAGAGATGACATCATGGGTACCAAGTAATTTCTTTAATCAGGGCATTAACAACCTGATTGTAAGATGGAAAAGCATCATCGATAAGAATGGAGACTATTTCATTTAATAAATGTTTCGTTTGGATATATAATTTGTTCAGGTTTTTTATGTACAAGAGATAGGGAGATTAGAGACAAAAAAGTATGACCATACATGATGCATCTGAAACACAATTTTAGTAATAACCTACCCAGTTTTCAAACATAAAAATATGGAAGCAGATGCAATAATGACAATGAAAAAGAAAATGTACATACAAAATTCTAGTTCAAGTGAAATTAAATTTTCTTGCACTATCACTGACCCACTCTTCTATGAGGTTTTCGAAATTGCAACGGTGATTAGTCAAAAAAACAAATAACTTGATATATTTACAGACAAATCTTTTTTTAGTTTATCAAAAATACTTCACTAAAAATATGATTGGGATTTGGGGCCTCCTTCAATAGGGGGGCCCAGATGTCTCACACCTGCTGCATTTCCCTAAGGGCTGCCCCTGTATTTAAGTTATAAGATGCTAAATGGAATTTCAGATCGAAATTACCCGATCTTGTTTTCTATGTATTGTGACTAATAGATCTATATATTTGTTAATCTTCAACAAAGATGATATTTAATGTGCCTTTATTTTCATTATTTCATGCTGTAATATATATATATATATATATATATATAATATATATAACCACCAACTTACAACAAAGTAAGTACTTTAAACTTT